AGCCCGATGCGGGACTCGATCCCGGGACTCCAGGATCATGACCTGAGCCGAAGGCAGTCGCTTAACCAACTGAGCCACCCAGGCGCCCTGTTTCCAGCTTTCTTATTCATCCTTTGGTGACCTTTGCTAGCAGTGCAGCTTTGGTGGTCTGGTTTATCTGTTCAGCCTTTGTTGGACTCAGCATTTGAAAGCAGAATGAGCCTGGCTTTTTGTCTGGGCCTTTAGTGATGCACACTGAATCCAGGGTTCAGTTAATGCTGTTTCCTTAGCTGAAGGTCTGGACCCTGGCATTAATATCCATGTCCTTCTCCCACCCTGTGGTTTTTAGAACCGTATGTCCAGGTATCAGAGTGCTGACCCTGGATTCTTCTTTATTGATTGAGATGGCAGAAACAATACCAGCCTTCTAAACCTAACCTTCTCCTAAGATTTGTATCAGAAAGGAAAATAAAAGGTTTCTAGGTAAAGAAAGAATGTAAAGGCAGGGCCAGTGAATTTCACCCCACCCCCCGGGGGTGAGAGGAGCATTCGTATCATAGTCTGTAGAATGGTGCGCCGCATGCCTTGTGCGACCGTATCTGGCAGACCCAAGTGCCTAAATAGGTTTGACCAAGTTGATGGAGGAAAATGGGTCCAGAGACCATCTAGGAGAAACAATAGATACAATAATGATTTGGGTGGTTTCTTCCTACGTGTGAAATTCATTTTCTTTCCTTTCCTTCTTTTTGGGGGCAGTCACCGCCTCAGACAGCAGAGCTTGGATGGATCAGATGATGGAGGAGGTAAGATGTGTTTGGAGCCGGAGAGACTCCACGGCCCCCAGAGCCTTTCCTGGGCCGCAGCTAAGGCCCTGTTGGCCGCAGCCTTCCTGGGAGGCAGTGGCCCCCTACCGTCTCATCTCTGTGCCTTGCTGAGCGCTGCGTCTGCCTGGAGGACCTCACCCCCGTGGCTGTCTGCCAGCCCTGCTTGTCTTCACAACTCTGCTGAAGCATCTCCTCCTCTGAAAGGTCTTCCCTTCCCACCCACTCCCTCTCTGACTCTGATGTTTCTTCCCTGTGCTCCCAGGCTCCCTGGGCTAACCTCCAATATAACAACAGCAACACTAGCTAATACCTGTTAGGTGTTTATTATATACCAGGCACTTGATATACCGTCCTACCCGTTTATATTGTGTTAAAGCATTTAATCATCACAGTAACCCCATGAGTTAGTACTATTGTCCCATTCTACAGTTGAGGAGACTAAAGCACAGGGAGGTTAAGTAAGGTTTTTCCAGTTCACTGTAAACTCTGTGCTCCAGTGTGGATAGTTTCTACTGCTGTGTAAATGCTCTTTTCTTCTACAAAGTCTAATCTGCCATTAAGACCACTCAGTGAATTTGTTCTTTCAGAGACTGTATTTTTCAGCTCTAGAAGCTCCATTCGGTTCCGTGTCTTCCATTCATCTCCTTCTTTTGATCGTGTTTTGCTTCATCCTTGATGGTAGCCTTTATGTAGCTGTTATAAAGCCCTTTTCTGCCAATTCTGTCATCTCTCTGTTTCCTGTGTCTCCACCGACTGATTTTTCTTCTGGTTACAAGTTCTATTTTTTCTGCTTCTTTGCATGATTAGTAGTTTTTGATTGGATGCTGGTCATTGTGAACGTTACTATGTTGAGTGTCTGGATCTTGTTGTCTTTCTTTAAAGAATAGTATATTCTTTAAAGAAAAGTATATCTGTTTTAGTAGGCAGTTAATGTGTTTGTTGGTCAACCAATCATTTTGAGAATTGTTTTTAAGCTTTATTAGGGCAAATCTAGAGTTAACCCTAAACATTAAGATACTCAGGTGTCCCTGCCTGGTGGTTCAACAAGGACTCTCCACTCTGCCTGTGTGGAGCTGAGCCTCTTCCAGTTCTTTATAAGCTGTGGGGATGGTTCAGGTTCACTTCACACCTTCTTGGTAGTAATTCTTTGCCCAGCTGTGTGGAGTTTGACCCTATACACACACAGCTTAGAATGCAGTCCCTCTAGGGGCACCTGGGTGGCTCAGTCGGTTAAGCGTCTGACTCTTGATTTTGGCTCAGGTCATGATCTCAGGGTCATAAGATCGAGCCCCACGTTGGGCTCCGCACCGGGCATGGAGCCTGCTTGAAATTCTCTTCCTACCTCTCCACCTCCCCTACATGTACTTTAAAAAAAAAAAAAAAAAAGTGCAGCCGATCTAGATTTCCGCACCCTTCTGCCAAATAGTGCCTCTCTCATCCTCTGCTTCTCAAACTCCAGCCACCTTAGCCTACCTACACTTTGACCTCTGCCTCCTCAACCCAGTGAGATCTCCATGCTCCACTAGGGGTTTCCCCTCTTTGGACCAGAGTCCAGGAAGTGTACATCTAAGCAGAAAGCCAGGGTTGACAGTAAGGCTCACTTCATTTCCCTCCTCTCAGGGATCCCCGTCCTGCGCTACCTATTGTCCACTGTCTGCACACAGCTGTTTCTTCCATTATTTCCAGTTTCCTACTTGTTCCCAGCAGGAATCCAGTGCTGGTTACTGCCTCATGGCTGGAGGTGGCGCCCCAAAGCTTTCAGTAACTAACCTTTGCGTGTGACCACAAAGCGAAGGGGAGCATTAAATCTAGAAAGCTTAGACTGTGACCCATACCGTTAGCTGCCTCACAGGACTGGGGGCTTATGCGACATGAGAACTGCTGGGATGGTGATAGAACACGGACTCCCAGCCACCAGCAATCAGAAGCTGGAGTTGGGGCCCAGAGATCTGGATTGATTTAAATACGCTCCCTGGATGAATATTCCGCATGCTGGAGCTTGTCAAGCATGCTGCAGTGCCGCTAAAGTTAGGACTGAGGGCAGGAGAGGACAGGAATCATGAAAACGTACTGCCTCATCTCATTCCAAAGGGGTTTTCGGGTAGAAAGGTAGTCACTGGAGGTCAGGAGTTGAGCCTCCACTCTGAGATTTAGTAAGAGCTCATGAGCACAGCTTCATCATTCTTCAGCATTTGTCTTTGCTTTTCCTATTCTTTCTTATTGACAAGCTCATTTTGTTTTACCAGATCTTCCTCCTTAGCTCTACTCATTAAACTCCTTGTAGCCGCCGAACCCGTCCACCCACTAAGAATTCCCAGTGACCCTGTGAACTCAGAGTCCAAGTCTCTTTCCCCGCACATGTCCCCGGGATGCCTCGTGCCACCGCGTGGTGGCTCAGTGATTGCTGGCTGCTGGCTACACTTTTGACTTGCCCGTCCTCACAGACTGTTGCTCCAGCCATTGGTTGCCTAGGACGGCAGGGTAACCATCCAGGAGGGTGTGCCAAAGGACTCAAGGAGGCAGGGGCCCTGCTGCACATTGACAAAGCCCTCAGGTGCAGGGAAATGATGCTGCTGCCCACTCTGAGGTGCTCATTAAATTCCTGGTCTCCAGGAAGTTTGCTCAGCTGGTATCCTCTCCAGGCCTCTCCCCACCCTACCTGGAACCTCTTTCTAACTCCTTTCAACAGACTTCTGAAATCCTCCTTTTCCCATTTTTTGCAGTGTGTGAAAACGCTACATTTCAAGGAGTAACTGTTAAATGTTCCAGCGAAACCTTCTGAATGCCAGAGTGTGCACACGTTCTAGATGTGTGTTAGCAGAAGGCTGGGCTGGCTGCTGTGGCAGCAGCTCTGTCGTCGGCCATCTTGTGCGAGCCCCTCATTGGCCGTGTTAACAGCATCGAAGCTTCGAGATCATTATCCAGAAAGCAGGACTCAGAGGAGGACTCTGGCCTTCTGGCTCCAAGAGACCTCTGTGCCTCATACCCCACGCACACCAACATCACTGCCATCTCCGCGCATCACCAAACTCATTTAGTTCTCAAAACAAACCTATGGAAAAGTTTGTAAAAATCAACTTCATTGAGGTTGAATTTACACACAATAAACTGAATCCATTTAAAGCTCAGCATTTGAGTTTTGACAGACGTATATGCCTGGTGGAACCGCCACCACAGTCAATACATAGAACTTTCCATCTCCCCTCCAAAATTTCTCAGGCCCTTTCCAGCCAGTCCTTCTTCGGCCCCTGTCTCTAGGCAACTACTGAGTCTCTTTGTTGTCACTATGCAGTGGTTTGCACTTTGTGGAGCTTTATGTAAGTTGAAATGTACGTACGTATGCTTTTCTGTCTGGCTTTGTTCACGTACGGTAAATGATTTTGAGTTTATCCAGGTTGTTGTATATGTCATTAGCCTGTTTCATTTATCGATGAGTAGTATTCCAGTGTATGGACAGACCACATTCCGTTATGTATTCACCCGGTAATGGACATTTGGATCGTTCATTATCCCCATTTTAAAGATGAGCAGACAAAGGCAAAGAAAAATAACCTTGCCAAAGGTCACACGATGAGTGACAACACTTGGAAGGCACCTCTGCTCACCACTACCCCACTGAGGCCACATAGCCCAGCGCCAGGATTTGAATACAGACCTTGACACCAGAGTCCTTGCTCCTGGCCTCTGGGCTGTAACAAACAGTACGACCCTCAGCTCTGTTGGCATCTCCTTCCACAGGTGGGTTGTGTTAATGTCAGCTCTCATGTTTGTAATATAGCATGCCTAGCATGATTGCTAGGATGCTTAATACAATTCCATTAAGGAAGGAGAGAGGAAAGATAACTATTTTCAGAGAATACCTCTAGTATTTTTTACCCCTTCATAAACTTGAAGTGTGAAATTAGTGATTTGGCCTTTATTTTGGCTCTGGAGTTTTGACGCGTAAAACCCTTTCTTGTCAGAGTGCACTTGACTTTACCTTCTAGGAGGGATGCCTCTCCCCAGGCATAAATCTGTTTTCCATGCAGCTATGCCTGAGTCCTTTAATGGAAAATCAGTTCATATGTTACACTTCACACTTGACTTCGTCCACTTCACTATACGTGAATGTTTAGAATCCATTATGCGGTAGGAATCATATGTTACATATAACTAGTTTCTAGAATTATCTTTGCTCAGAGAATCACTTGGTTGGCTAGCGAAGGCTGCTCCTTTGAACTTAGAATAACCAGTAGGTGGGGACGCTCCATGAATGATTGCCCTGAATCATCCAAGGAGGCCCATTCAGCAATGACATGAAGCAGATCTTTGGGCACCTGTGAGGGAACCTACTGGTGCCCTTAATAAAATCACACCCAAGTTCTTCAAGGTTGTCAAGTACGAGGAGCGTTGTCCCCTGGGAAGGGGCTGCTAGTTTCCCTGTACTTGGTCGGGGTGGTGATCGGTGAGCAATCCCGAAAGAGAATGTATCTTGGGACAAGAAATGAGAATCCAAGGACTAGGGCCCCCTCCCGGCAGGTAGTCTCTTTCTACCACCAGTCTTAGAGGTTAGATTTTATTGAGGAAAGCCAGCAGGTGTTCGGACAGTGCCCCCTGTGGCCACAGCTCCTCCAGATGCTGGAGATAGTGGCAAGTAAGACAGCCCTGGCCCTCCGAGAGACTCTGATGTAGTGAGAGAGGCCCCCTCCTTTCCCTCCCCGTCTTGTATAGGAAACTTTGAGGAGCCATGTCTCTCAGATCTGTTTCTCAGCAGTCAGCCTCCCAAGCTTCACTCTTGGCACATACTCTCCTTCTTCCATGGGGAAGATGCCCAGGGAGAGAAGAGAAGCACTCCTTCCCCTCCATCGATGCCTCAGGCTTCCAAGGGAAGAGAACAGAAAAGTAGAAGAAGGAAAAGGCTTTTAGGATAGATGTGTTTTTAGAAGGAGAAATGGAAGTGACTGACATTTGGAGGTGGTTTTGGAGTCTGTTGGTTAACT